TCGCCGCTCCCGCCCAGCACCGCTGGCCCCCGGTGTCCCCGGCCCTTGGGCACCCGCTCCAAGCGACATGGTGGGAAAAACAGGACTGGGAAAGGACCTGCTCGCCAGGCACCAGGGGGCAGAGTATGGCTGGGGGCCCCCCCTCAAGTGCTCCTCGGGAGTCTGACTATCAGCCGGTGCTGGGCAGCGGGCACACTCCAGCCAGGAGCTCGGCTCGCCTGGCACCTTGCAGAGCCCATCGAGGAGCCAAGACACAGTCCGGGACACAGCCAGCCTCTGTCTTCATGGTAACTTACATACTTGAGGAAGTTAATCACAGAGCTCTGGGTTTATCGACAGCAAAGTCTGAAACACTGTGAGAGACTGAGATGTAATGCTCTGGGCAGGCACAGTTTTTCTGTGACCATAGGATGGCTGAGCCATTCTGTACTCAACAGAGCTTTATACGGCTGGGAATTCACCAAGAGGATGGATGAACTAGTTAAGAACCTTGACCTCTGGCTTTCTGTTGTCTCCTGTCCTCTAACAGAGGTCAGGTTCTTTTCCCTGTTACAAGGAAAAGGTTCAGCCTTCTTTTTTAGCTCCTACTTAAGGCAAAACTCAGAATCAGATGACACTGCCAGAAGGTTTTCCATCCTGTCTCACTTTGCATGTCTGAAGAAGTCCTTCCATCTTCTGAGGACAAAGTTAAAGCTGTGATCTCTGTCTTTATCCTGACCCGGATTGCTCCCAGTCCATTGCACAATGCCTGGTCTTTTCTACTGAGGAAGAGGACTCCTAAAGATCCCCCAGGAGACAACCTACATTCACCTTCTCCTCTGATCCTCCAATAAGACACTTCTCTGGTCATAAAATACCTCTCCCTACCCCTGCTAGGTTCTCCCCTCTTCCCTTCTTTCCTGGGAGACCTCTGCAGTCCCTACTAATCCTACAAAAAATACTTCTGGCTGCAGCTGTACTTGGGCGGAGTGGGATGAAAGCACAGATGCAGAATGAACCTGTGCTGTGATAGCAGTCAAGGCCTGTCCAGACATGACAGCTTCCCGGCCCCTTCCCAGAGGAGTGCTCTCAGGAGGGCGGGGAGAGTTCTGTAGCACCTAAGTGGAAAAACTGGCTGGGCTGCGCAAGGAGAGGGGATTGCTGGAGGAGGGCAAGGTTCTTGTGCTTCAGCCTTCACCAGCTCCCCAAGCGAAATAAGCAGCAAGCAGTGGGGAGTCACAGAGATCCTTGTAGCATGGCAAAGCAGACACAGGGCACCTGCTG